TCTCACACACACACACACACACACACACACACACTCTCTAAAAGAATCTTCACATACACTGTTTTTCATTCAACAGTGATTCAAAATGATCGCTGGCTGTCAAGCTCCAACAAGCGATTGCATCAGAAGATTAGTAAATATAATGCACACATCATTATGGATATTTTTATGATACTTAAATAATGCTTTTTAGTCCTCTTGGTTCTTGTAAGTCTGTGATCATAATGAAATATGGTATGAGAAAAAAAAAGCTGTCACGATTCTTGAACATTCTCCTTTGGTCTGGATAGGGGAAGCAGGTCAAAGGTCAGCATGCAAGCCAACAGTTGTCAGAAAGAAAATGAGGACAACTCACAGGTCCAACAAATCCAGCCACCATGGTGATGAGCAGGGAGAAGATGGCCACCAGCATACGGGTCTGACAGAACCTCCAGAACACCCGGGACAGAGACGCCGCGTCCTTCCCCCGCCGCTTGAGCTCCTCGTGCCACAACCACTCCAGTCTGAATGATGCATCGCCAAAGACAGTGTGTTTAAACAACAGGACATCGGCAAGTGTTGTAACATGAAAAACTGGGAAACCTTTTATTAAAGGGATAGTTCACCCAAAAATGAAAATTCAGTCATTAATTACTCACCCTCATGTCGTTCCAAACCCATAAGAGCTTCGTTCATCTTTAGAACACAAATTAAGATATTTTTGATGAGATCCGAGAGCTTTCTGACCCTGCATAGACAGCAAGGGAACTACTACATTCAAGGCCCAGAAATGAAGTTAGGACATCGTTACAATAGTCCAGTGGTTCAACCGTAATGTTATGAAGCTACGAGAATACTTTTTGCGTGCAAAGAAAACAACAATAACAACAATTCAACAGTTCTTCTCTTCCCTGTCACTGTCCGCCCCATTCACGACAGTACCACGACACATGCGTTTCTGGGCCTTAAACGTTTCAGTTGCGTTGCGGTCTATGCAGGGTCAGAAAGCTCTCGGATTTCATCAAAAATATCTTAACGTGTGGTCTTACGGATTTGGAACGACATGAGGGTGAGTAATTAATGACAAAATGAATGACATAATTTTCATTAAAATATATTTTTTTAGCTGCTGAACGCAAAAGAAGATATTTTGAAGAATGTTGGTAACCAAACAGTTGCTGGTACCCAGTGACTTCCATATTATGGAAGAAATAAAATACTATGGAAGTCAATGGCTACCAGCAACTGTTACCAACAATCTTCAAAATATCATCTTTGGTGAACAACAGAACAAACACACTCATACAGGTTTGTAACAAGTTAAGGGTGAAGTAAATGATGACAAACTTTTCATTTTTGGATGAACTATTCCTTTAACTTGAGTTTCAATGGCTGTATTCAAGTGGGCTGGAGTTAAAAATCATCATATGTGTTCTACTGAAGAAACAAAGTCACCTACATCTTGGATGCCCTGGGGGTAAGCAGATAAACATCACATTTTCATTTTTGGGTGAACTATCCCTTTAAGTCTTTTATTTTATTCCTGTTTAAAGTTCAAATTAAAGTCAGCATGAATGAAAACTCACCCTTTCGATTTTCTAAATGCACATTATAGATCTTATCGTGAAAATCAGATGTTTCAGATTAATCAGAATGTCATAACTGGATCTGTGTTGTTTGCAGGATTTCTCCAGTCATTTAGTGCATTTAAACCTGCTCCTGCAAGCTCACCTTCATCTGCCTCCACTTTTGAGTGAAACACCCACATCTCAAAATCCAATCAACAACTGATGCATAGATCCCAGTCTCCACCCTATTTTTTTCTCTTTTAATGTGTTACAAGCAAATGTACATCACATTATGGATAAAAAGATCGGTTGCTACTTCAAATTCATTGCAACTTTAAGAAATTAAATTAATACTGGCTAAATTGTTAGACCAAACCAAAATTAAATGTACAATATAACAAATGCTTTTGTCACTTTATTAGACAGCTCTCTGCCACGCTTGATTCTGATTGGTGTTTTTGGGTAATGATGCTGAACTGTATAATTTCCTAATTTCCAATTTCCTACATAGCTGTGTTAGTTTTACAATTCTTGCATCACTCCAGTTTCTTTCTTCTCACATAATAAAATGACCACAAATCATAATGCATGTCATGCATAAACCCCTTCAGAATGATATAAGATCCCTCTGCTCCTGGTTGGGTCCTGCTTTTTTGCAAGTTGACTGGATATAATCCTTGACCTCACGTCTAAATTAAAAATGTGAGGCATTTTAACTGTTAAACTTCTGTATTTTAAACTCAAGGGCACATCATATATTTCAGGTCTTCGGGTAGTAAAACTTGTTTTGGGCACACATTTAAAAGCCAAAACATTCACACGTTTATTATAAATCATAAATGTTGTTCAATTTCTCATAAATATTGTAATGCAAAAACTTGAAGCATTCAAGGAAAGCCTCATTGAAAACACTGAAATTCACACTCAGAATGAACAATCAATCTGAAGGACCAAGGCTTTGAGCTTTCAGTTCCCATGCCAAAGACCTACAAAAATAAATAAATAAAATAATCCACTCAGCTTTTATCTCTCACAAAGGGTACAACACTTTGGTGAACTGTATCTTATTATTTTTTTTAAATTTCAACAGCCTTGTGTTTTGAAGAAAACACTTTACGTAAGTGTTCCAGACCCCATAAAATATCCACCCCTCACACACACAAGTACACATGCCTTTAACGCATCCCAGCTATATATCTCTGACACAAATCCAGTAACGGGAGCCACAGACCCTGAGGTCAAACACTGAAAACTGACACGGCTTCTTACAGAGCCGCTGAGGCATAGCTGTCAGGCAAAAACAGGGGCCTATATTTAACACACGATCATTGATTGCAACAAAAGAAAGCACAGTCAAAGTCTGATCCAATTCATTCACCGAATATGGGCAAATCTCTGATCTGTGATTAGAAAGGGCAGTTACAGATTATAGGTGTTTTTCCATGTTCCCGTGTTCCCGAGAAACACTTTGAGCCCTATCAATGAGCCGGCTTAGTCGAAAGGGACACGGGCTGTGATCTGACGTGTTAATGACATAACCGTCCTGCAGGAAAGGTGCAGACTGACTCTCTCTGATGTCTAATCCTTGCTATGAATAACACCCACCTGCCATAACTCTCTGGGCTGTGTGAGCGTGGGAGGCAAGCATCTCTCATTCATTCCCCACCGTGACTCGAGGGATTCCCACACCAACCTCTTGTTATCAAGACGTCAACTGTGTGAGACCTTGGCACAGGAGGTGTTTTCTAATAGTCCTGTTTGTTCATGGTTCAGCATTGGCACATATGAGAGATGCCTAACTTGTGCTTGGCTCCAGGGTAGGGCTGAACGATTAATCAAAATCAAACCGAAATCACGATTTGGCCTGATGCGATTATTGAATGGCAAAGGCTGCGATTTTTTATTTTAATTCTTGCCTCTGTATAATGCATATTTAAGTAGTGTTTATAGACCTTACAGTATGTGCCAGAGATACAAGCACGCTTCCATCTTTATAATTTTGTCTTTGAACTCCGTAGCATCGCTGTTGACGAAAGGGACACGGGCTGTGATCTGACGTGTTAATGACATAACCGTCCTGCAGGAAAGGTGCAGACTGACTCTCTCTGATGTCTAATCCTTGCTATGAATAACACCCACCTGCCATAACTCTCTGGGCTGTGTGAGCGTGGGAGGCAAGCATCTCTCATTCATTCCCCACCGTGACTCGAGGGATTCCCACACCAACCTCTTGTTATCAAGACGTCAACTGTGTGAGACCTTGGCACAGGAGGTGTTTTCTAATAGTCCTGTTTGTTCATGGTTCAGCATTGGCACATATGAGAGATGCCTAACTTGTGCTTGGCTCCAGGGTAGGGCTGAACGATTAATCAAAATCAAACCAAAATCACGATTTGGCCTGATGCGATTATTGAATGGCAAAGGCTGCGATTTTTATCTATGTTTATAGACCTTACAGTATGTGCCAGAGATACAAGCACGCTTCCATCTTTATAATTTTGTCTTTGAACTCCGTAGCATCGCTGTTGAAGAGTAATGAGCTGGTGAAGTGGATTTACTTATTGTAGAGTTTTAACGAAAGTTATCATGAGCATTGTAATGTTCCACGCGGATGTCATAACAAATGTCAGTAGACCTGGAAGATTTTAAAACGAGCGGTTCATTCATAAATTTGCACGATCTTAATTTCACGCTGTGGATATACAAACGGAAGACAGAAGACAACGAGTGCAGCGCTGAAAAGGGGCGGAGCTACATACCCTGATAGCACACGTACATCACGGAGACGTCTATTTGACGTCTGCATTTACATCTGCAAGATGTACATTTTTTGGAAGATTTTAAAACGAGCGGTTCATTCATAAATTTGCATGATCTTAATTTCACGCTGTGGATATACAAACAGAAGACAGAAGACAACGAATGCAGCGCTGAAAAGGGGAGGAGCTACATACCCTGATAGCACACGTACATCACGGAGACGTCTATTTGACGTCTGCATTTACATCTGCAAGACGTTTTCTTTAGAGTGTTTGCATATCTGTGATACGTCTATAGGACGTTTCCTATCAGATGTCAAATAGACGTTTAGAAGATGTCATTTAGAATGTATGTAAAACTGACGTCTATCAGATATTTGTACACAGCAGATGCTTTCCAGATGAAGCGATCTTTAACAGACATCTTGCAGACGTACCTGTGCTATCTGGGTAAGGTCTATAACGTGCATCTGAAAAGGCAACACACGCCAAACATCCTCCCAAACTAATGAGATGCGTTTATGAACCTGTTGTCCAACAAAAGAGAATATTTAATAACATGGTTTTACTCCACAGCATCAAGCAAGAGTTTGAAATAACTTCATTTTCTGATCTGACGTGGCTTCTTATCACAGAATGAGCAGAAATTATATTCTATACTGTAATAAAGGCTATGTCGATTAGCCGCACTGGATTATAGATTTACTTTATAATTATGAAAATACCCAAGATGGCTTGAGGAACACAGATACACCCTATATTGTGTGTTTACTGGCTTCATGTTTAGTCAGTTCAAGCGTTTCTATCTTCTTTTTATTCTGCAGCCATGGCTAGATAACTTTGTCCATATTAGGGATTTCCTGGAATGTCATGAGTTCTATTACTTCTGTGATGCATATTGGGAGTTTCCGCACGAGGGCGCCCTCTGGAATGCAGTATTAATTAAACAGGTAGCCTATTACATGTGTTTAGTGCTCATTAATGCACACTCAGTTCTATTTTGCCCAAATTTTCCCCAAATCGCGCAGCCCTACACCCGGGTATTTGCGTTCAGACAAACACAGCTTGACAGTAGACAAACCTTGACGACGGATCTGAAGGTTTGCACCAGTAGCTCACCTTTGGCAGTTCGTTTCTGAGGCCTCGTGGCAAGACAGACCCCACACGTCTTCAATCTTGAGACAGGACGCTTTGTGGGCCCTCCATGCCAGAGGGGACAGCCACTGCAGGGTCATGAAGGAGAAAAATCCTGCATTGTCCACCGGGTGCTGATGTCTGGGGGTGAAAATGGAAGAGTTTGGCTTGTATCAGTCATCTAGGCGCTATGTGCTATGTCTGAGAACGCCGTGACCTTGAACGCGAGAGAAAATCTTTACTCGCTGCGGCCAAACAGTAGATGAATCACACGTTTGTGTTTGAACAGCAGTTTGCACGTCCCTCTCAGAACTCTTACGAAGCAGTGAAAAAGTTCAGCGGCTCTTTATCAGCCAGCATGTTAAAAATTGAGCCGTCTGTGAGAAAAGGATAAGAGCGTTCTTATCAGGACCTCTGTCACTTGAGTCCAAATGGCAACGAAGCAAACATCTCGTAAGGCCTGTTTCACACCTCACACAAAAGTATTTCGGTGCATATGTTTGTTTTGGCTCGATATTAACCGGTTTCACGCTGTCTGTGTAAGCAGTGTGGTAGAGGTGTAATATAAGTTACGTTTTTCCACATTGAACTTAGCAGAAAAGGTTGAAAATGCACTATAAATTTATTTTAGCAACACAAGCTTTTACAATATAGGCTTATATGATGCAACTGCGTGAACTACTCATTGTTAAAAATGACGCCTATCATGTTTAATGTGGGTTAAATGTGCAGTGATGCACATAAACTATTTTTATTTAATTAAGTGACAGATTCAGATGATAAAAGCAGCTCGTAGCATCTTTTTGAGGTTTGGGTTCAGTCAGGTCAAGTCACCTTTATTTGTATAGCGCTTTATACAACACTGGTTATGTCAAAGCAGCTTTACACTGTCAAACAGGAAAATAGTTTGTGCATGATGCAAGAAGACAATAACAAAGAATCATTTTTTCCAGCTTAAGTCAGTTCATTGATGATTCACTGTAGATTAATTATTATTTGGAAGTAAATGTGTCTCCTGATAATCTCCTGATAACCACTTCACAATTTATGGCAGTTATTAAAGAAATATCTAAAGTAGTAACCTAGAAATTACTTTATTTTCTTTATTTTAAATACTTATTTTCTCCTGTTGTAGTTCGTGAAATTTAGGTTAGAAACATTCAAAAGGAGGTTGACATGACAAGCAATTTTATTGTCCTCAAAGAAAGAGGTCATTATTATTATTATTATTATTTGTTTCCTTTCAGATAATTTGGCTGGACAGCAAAGAATACAGATTTTGTCCATAAACATTAATATCTATTCAAATATTGTCGAATGTGAAAATTGTTCTGTGGCATGACTGTCATTATGAACTACAAAATAAATGTATCTAATCTAGAAATACAAAAATCTATGAAAATAAACAGTTCAGACAAAAATACTGTTTATATTGGCATTAGCTAATCAGGAATGACTGGTCATGAACTTCAAAAATTTTATATAATACATAAAATAATATATAACAATATATACTTCATATACTATATAATGTATAATACTTTATAACTATATAATAGCTAAAGCTGAATGTGGTGCATTGTTGAAGAAATATAGCTTTATAATTAGAGAATATATATATATATATGTGTGTGTGTGTGTGTGTTATTTTATGAAGTCCTGCCAATTGATTCTTCCACATTTTAAGCATTAAAATAAGCTTTATGTATTTGTGCATGTGACTTTAACTGTTGGAAACGATGTGACGATTTTGTGTGTGTTATTTTATGAAGTCCTGCCAATTGATTCTTCCACATTTTAAGCATTAAAATAAGCTTTATGTATTTGTGCATATGTGACTTTAACTGTTGGAAACGATATGTCGATTCATACCTTGGTGTGACGTTCTGTACACCAGCAAGACTGATTTTAAACAGCATTTGCTAATTCTTTTATAATCATTATACATGCAGTGTTTATGAGCTCAAATTAATTGAGAGACAAACAAATTAATTTTTCACACATTTAAATGAACGAGGGGAAAAGATAAAATAAAAATGGTAACCTGTCACATCCCCTAAAATATACACATATTTTTCACAAAATATGGATTTTATTCTTAAATCCATTTGGTAGCTACCCACATATTAATTTTATATGGTTCTAACAACTGTATCCAAGAGAACTTACTTGTGCGTGATCCGAAAGGGCTTGAGTATCTGTAAGCTATGGCGATATCTGCCTCGTCTTTTTGTTTCGGAGCCCAGTTCCACCTCATCATCGGGGTCTGGGAGAGTCTGGGGAGGGGACAGCGTCAACCCCTCCACCCGTCCTACGGCCTCCAAAGCATCTGAGAACATACCTGTCTCTAACAAACACGAACAGAAAAACACTCAACAACACTCCAAAAGCTAGAAAATACTGTCAGACACTTGGGATGAGCTCCCATGCATGCTCATGACAACCAGCACTGGGAATGTCTGAATCTGCTGACTAATATTAGTGCAGTGACACAAACCTTCCTCTAACGCTATGGCTACAAATTTGAAGTGTTTATCTATTTAAAGACGCCTGCGGGTGGCCTCAAGGCTCGTGGATACTGAGACGAAGGATATTCGAGCTGGCCGTGTGTGTGTTGACCCTGTCACTGATCCATCTGTGGCATAAGACACGATAAGGTAAATCCAGCAACACTGGGACTCTCTGTATCTGCTCGGTGTACGTCACCGGCGACTGCCAGATAATGAAAGATAAGCACATTATTTACACTCTATACAAGAAAGAGCCTGCATTCGATAAAAATCACTAATGCAATAGGAGACTATGAATGTAAACAAGGATAATGGGAACGCTTTGAAATTTTAAAGGGATAGGCCCTAATTCACACAGAAATGAGCATTCTGTCATTATTAGTCATTCCAAACCGCTGTGACTTTATTTCAGAATTTTAAGGAACTGATCTTGCTATTCATGCAATTATAAAGAACGGAGATTGAAGCTTCCGAGCTTCGTAAAGCACACAAGCACCATAAACGTATCACAAGAAGTTCTGAAGCCATATGATTGTGATGATTATGACGCTGAAATTTAGGTCATTATTCACTGAAAATTGATTCTATAGCTCTCCTTGGAGTATTTATGATAGTTCATGAGAGAACGACTCGACATGGGCCATTTTTGGTGATCAGGAATATATAGTCATAGCTCTCCTTGGAGTATTTATGATAGTTCATGAGAGAACGACTTGACATGGGCCATTTTTGGTGATCAGGAATATATAGTCATGGGTAACACTTTACAGTAAGGTTCCATTAGTTAATGTATTAACTAACATGAACAAACAATGAACAATCTTTGTTAATGTTAGTTAATGAAAATACAGTCGTTCATGTTAATGCACAGTGCATTAACTAATGTTAACAAGCACAGCTTTTGATTTTAATAATGCATAGTAAATGTCGACATTAACATGAACTATGATTAATGAATGCTGTAGAAGTATTGTTCATTCTTAGTTCATGTTAACTAAAGACTAATGTTAACTGATGGACCTTATTGTAAAGTGTTGCCTAGTCATGTTTTTCTTTATTTATAAAGAAGCAGTGTGTAGTTAGCAAGGTAATAAGGTGTAGATTTTCTAAACCGATCAAGAAAAAAGCAGCCCTGGTATCGATTTGACATCAGTATCGGCAGATACTCCAAAACTGTACTGAGCAATACAGCTCACACAAATGCTCTGAATGTTTCATTCAGGCATCAGACTAATCCGGTTCTCCACTTAATGACCAAATCATCTAATGTTAGTCAGATTTGGAACAACAACATTTTCATTTTTAGGTAACGTTCCATGCATGACCCCATTTCAATAGGCACACAATCAGCCGAGTAGGATATAAACATACAAAAAAAATGTAAACTATTTTTGGGCTTATATAAGGAGCATTGTTCATGTTTACCTTCAGTTTGAGACTACTATGAATATTTATCCATTTGCACACAACTTGAAGGAAAAGCGAAGACAAAATAAGATCCTCTGCTACCACCATTGCGCCCAGGCTCGAAAACGTACTGTATAATAACTGTAAGTGTCTGCTACCTTTAATAATTAAAAATAGTTGAATAAGAAATCAGTTTATGCTGATTTGTGCATTACACCTGCTCACTGTTCCTGATCCGGCCAGCTAGAACTGTGTTCCCTGCCATTTCTGGAGATGTTCTCCATTGGGATCCTCATACTGGACATTTTATGGATTATTAGAACTACCTTTATCTCAAATGAGCATTACATGATGTTATTAAATAATGAACATGAATATTGACTTTCCACTATTTAAGGTGCATGTAGTGTAAAAGCAACACAAAACAGAAAGTTTATACACATATATATGTATATATATATATGTATATATATATATATATATATAAAAAAGTTGGAGCGTGAAGAAGGTCACTTACATATATATCAAGCACCCTTTTTCCTTTCAGCTTCAGGATGTTCCCACAGGTTATTCAATGATTTATTCAGAAAGCCAGCGCTCTCTGGATCCCTCGCTGCACATGACACATGCACTTAAACAGCATGCAACGTTACTCTGATCCGGCGCAAAAGTTTCACCGCGTTAAAAAGAGGTGCAGCGGAGACTTCGACGCGCCGCTCAACCCGGGCGGCGTTTTGAAGCGCGCCACGGCACAGCTGACGGAATTCCCTAAATGCATCCTGCGTCACGCCTGAGCAGCCAATCGCGGATTTGCTTGGCCGTCGCTGCGGTAACCGGACCTGGAGGGGAAGGAAAGGGCACGTGGTGATCTTTGCAACAGCGCGCAGACAGATTAGCAGACTATTTTGGGCCGCTCCGCTCCGGTCATCTGAAGAGCATTGCTGCATATGGAATAAGACGAGTGGTCTGAAAAGAGACACTTATTATTTTTTAATAGTAGCCGTTGCGGAACTCATATGTTTCTGAAAAGTGAGGCAGAGCGCGCAGTGTGACCTGTTACACCAAATACACAAAATAATGATCTTTAAAAAAGCATCATATGACCCCTTTAATAATGTTACGTAATGATAAGTCTTTTGCACAGACTTTAATTATTGCAACTTTAAATCAAACACTGAAACCCGGCCGGTGTCTTTCCGTTCATTTAGATTACGTTTAATGGGCATATTTTTCATCACTGAGTAATAAAGTAAATAATTTTTTTCCCTTTATTATTATTACTGTTTTATTTAGTTCCATCACATACAAGTACATGGCAAATACAAGGCAATGTTGTACAGTTTAAAGCATGTAGAACAACAACAACAACATAAAATGAACATAAACATAGTTTAAAAAGTAGTGCTGTCAAACGATTAATCGCATCCAAAATAAAAGTTTTTGTTTGCATGAGCCCAGACCTGGTTCTCTGGTCCAACTCCAGTAGGATCCTCATAATAGTTGAACTGACAGTCTTTTGGGAAGAGGCCATTAACGAGGCCTTTGAAAGGAAGAAGCTGTGATATGCCAACTTGGCAGCTGAGGCAGAGGAGTGGGGCAGGACGGTGAAAGTATACCCGGGAGAAGTGGGCTGCAGGGGCTTTGTGGCTAGTTCCACTGTAAGGCCCACGCATAAAGCAATTGTAAATTCATGACTGATTATTGGGTATTGCGGCAAGGACCACGGACATGGATTAGGCCATGATCCTGGATTCTTGCTGAACCAAAATCAGAGCGTAACAATTGCTGCGTCTCGCAGTGTTCTGCTCACAGCGAAGGAGAAAATGTTCTATGGTGCTGTTAAATGGTGCTGAATATTGGGATCATAACACCTAGTCCTATCATGCAAACTGTGTGTGTACTGTGTATATTTATTATGTATATATAAATACACACACACACACACATGTATATATTTAAGAAAAATATGTTATGTTTATATATTAAATATATTTATATATAATATAAATTGAAAAATCTGAATATAAATATACACATACACAAAATATATACATGCATGTGTGTGTATTTATATATACATAATAAATATACACAGTACACACACATATATTATGTAAACAAAAACTTATATTTTGGATGTGATTAATCGCGATTAATCGTTTGACAGAACTTAAAATAAAAATAAAAAAATACCAGGATAAAAAAGTGCTATATAATATTAGATCAGTTACATAAATCTGAAAAGCTTTAGAGTTTTTATAAGCTTCTCATTTTGTGATCTCATTTTAGAAAGGGTTTCAAAATATATTTTAAGATCAATGTTACAAAATGTAATACATGATGGTTTCTTTTGAATTATTTTTGACTTATGAATATAAAACGTTGCTAAAATAATTAACAGATTAATAATGTAATTTAGTTTTTCAGAAAAATATGGGTTTTTGAAAACAAAGTAAAATATCATGAGGTTCTAAATAAAGGCCTTTGTTTACATTTTTTTTAGTTTTGTCTATTTTAAAGTCAATCCACAATGAAATAGAAAAAGGGCAATAGAAAAATAAATGCTCAATATGTTACAAAAGGTACATTTATCACAAACACTATGAATAGATCTGCTAACAGCTGCATTTACAGGATCACATCTGTGAATAATTTTGTAAAGTACTTCTATTACTTTATTATTAGAAATAACATATTTATATGGTAATATCCAAATGCAAAGTTTGGGGATTTTGTAGGGTTGTATTATTACATATTGACACTGGGAATAGCCTTAATTACTTTGTTAAATAAAGTAAATGATTATGTTACTATCTTAGTAATGTTTTGGCTAATGTAAAGGTCATGACCTTGGGCTGTGTTGACATGGTGTACGTCAACTGGCAGCAAGTTGTTGTGATTTCTAAGTTACATGGACGGCTCTATGCAGTACAAGAGTCCAGTACATGCTGAAAAAGATAATAAACACTGCAGTAGTTGACAAATAAACATGAACTTTTTATTACAACACAAAGGTTTTAGGTTACATAAGGTTATGCAAGTTCAACAAGTTTTGCAACATTTTTTAATAACCTTTTAGCTGTTTTGTATAGCTTAACAAGTTCAAATATTCCATGTTCATTCAATTAATATGAGGTCACAAACACTGTAAGACACTTATAAAACAATTAGATAAAAGTTGTTTGAAGTGGTTTTAGTCGAAGAATATCAAACTGGTGTTTGCTATGAAATTTACATTTGCAAACTGATATTTGTAACGCTTAATGCAACAAGTAAAGCATTTACAGTCAAACACATCGGTTTTATTCAAAGCTGATTAAACTGCAGTTCTCCATTCTCAGGTGTGTCATAGTGCTGTAGTGACCTCTGTTGGCATGTAACACACTGTTTACATGAGAATTGCCTAAAGCAGTGCTTCTCGATCCAGGGGCCTCATTTATAAAATGTGCGTACACACAGATTTGATCTTAGAGTGTGCGTACGCTAAAAATCCACGGCAACGTTCATATTTATAAAAACGCTCTTTGACGTAGAAAAGTACCTACCGCCACGTCAGGGTCTGAGCAAACGTACGCACTTTTCCTTGTGGCAAAGTCGGAGTACTGCAACTA